CCACCCACTCCCTACTCTCACTACAGATGACGATGTCATCTTCAAACATTGCGGTCAACGGAGCTTCCTGTCTGACATCATCTGTCAACACCGATGCAACCACACCCCTAGCTGGAACCCATCTGTCACTCCGACAGCACACCTAACCACTGTCTCATACATGTGACACTCACATACTTCTCTGCCACTCCTGTCTGACGCATACAGTACCATACTCCTTCTGACCTCTTAACTTTTCTCATATTTCTTGTTCTTGAAAATTGGTACTCGTACCCTCTTTCCTAATTCTCTAGGCATCCAGGATTGGGTTCAACACTTTCCTAAACATCTCCATACCGCCACAGTAAACTTCACACTTCATCCTCCTAAAAGCTACACTCACTTCCTCCTAACTTACTCCCCATACTTTCTGATTAGGATCCGTAAACTCCGTAAAAAAATTGATTTTCTTCTTCATTCGTAAGCTCATCAAAACTCTTTCCATCTTCTCAGCACACTATGGGGCTTGGGGATACATTAGCATTTCCTGGCGGTTTAACTGGAAAAACTGAAATTTTTCCACCCAATACTGTGAACTGAAACTTTGCTAACTTGATAACATTTTTTTGTTTCTGTTGTCTTTCAATAACAATTTCCATCGAATTGCTGCTGCACTATAAACTCTACAACTGTTGCTATCTAACCCGTTATCTTGCGCAGTACAGTATGTGTAGATAAACGGTACAAGTTTAGGAAACAATGGCACGCTTGTATAAAATACCTGTGCACTCAGGGCAGCACTGTCCTGGCTTGGTAATGGGTCGAGCACAGGGAGTTGGTTGACAGATGAGTGGTACGCAAGTGACGTTGCCTCTGACACACGTGCAGCGCTGACACAGATCAGAGGAAGGGGTGAAGGAGTGACCATGGGGGTGCACTACCGTCTGGTATAGACAGGACTCACAGGCGGGGCAGCAAGATTCTGATGGGACCGCGTGGGAGCATTGGACCGTACATGGTCTTCTCTGACAGTCCACCACTTCATTCTGATCAAAGCAGGGAAAAATGAAAGTAGTATTTCATTACTTCAATGCAATCAACAGGAACTGCTGAGTTTTCCCACCATGAACTACTAGGACCTGGCTGTTCGTTCTTCCGACAGTTTACGTATTTGCGTGAGCTAAAATGCAGCTAAAATATAAAGTATGACTTTATTTTTTTCAATTGTAGACCAAAGATAAAACAATAAGAATTGTTGACATTTTTTGACACAACGATTGAGGTTCTCCAATTTTTTGCAGTTGTGAGTAGCATAATTTCCGGACTATAAGTCGCTCACACATTTTGAACTCTGCGGCTTAAACAATGAGAGTATGTAGAATGGCTGTGTGTGATTATGATTATGTGTGTGGGGTGCAGGAGAGAGAGAGAGAGAGAGAGAGAGCTATAGCGAAAGTGGAGAGCAGCACAAAATGAAGGGAGTTAGCCCCACAGCTAATGTTAGCTTCGACTCTGGAGCACATCACTAAGTCTCCCCTGTGCATTCCAACTACGGTCGGGGCTCCGAAGGAGAAAAGAGCTAACGTGTAAAGAGCTGCGTTACAGGCACTGTTCGGAAAAAAAGCATGTATTTAATTAAAAGTAAAAAAATCTTTCTGTGTAAATATCCCATTTTACGACGTGGTGCGGCCCATATATGTACCATTATTTTTTTCTTTTTAAATTTAGTGGGTGCAGCCTATATTCAGGTGCGCTCAATAGTCCAGAAATTACGGTAACTAAAATAAATGACACTAATCCCACATAGCTCCAGTAATAGATGATGTTAGGTCATTGTCCAAGGTTTGGTCGTGGTAGCAGCAGCCTGGACAGAGAACCTTTCTCTGGATGTCCTACCAGTGGGATGTACGAAACTGCCAAAATTATAATGACATTTCTGGAGCTTAAGACATATCTTGACAAAGTGAATAAATATTAAAACTGAACAGCACAACATGATGGAAATGGGTCACGACGAGTAGTTCTCACACTGACCAAACAGTTGCAGGAGAAGCAGGGATCAGAAAGGGAAGGAAAGGTGGAGCCTGACTTAAACTCCGTTCCCTGATGTAGACAAATGCCAGTGCAGACCGGGCAGCACTCGCCAGGAAGGGTCACTGGATGGACACAGGCAACACTTGGGCAAGATATATGTGCGCAGACCACAGCACCGTTCTGCACAGAGACATTTGACAACATTTCGACAAGTTACACTTGGCAATGAATCAATTTGAGATAACAGGGGTTCCTCAACTTATGTCGGAATTCCGTATGATGCAACGTGATTTTCACTGTAAATCGGATACTCAGATGCTGTACATGAGTTCCTATGTCACTCACTCGAACACGAACGAAAGAGAGCGAATGGAGCGAAATCCATGTCTAGTGTACAACCAGTGAATGTAAAAATCGATGGAAAATCAATACGAACGCATGACGAGTCACCTTGATTTAACTAAAAACGAATCGTTGCATTTTCTCTCGTCTCTCGTCATACGCTGAGACTACACGCTCCAGCGCAGTAGGTGCCAGTATCTGCCTAAAACCATTGGTTGTGACCAGTTAAAAGAGATGTTATCTTTGATCTTTCAGTTAAGTATAGTGACAATATGCTCGTCACCAGAGGTGTGGACTCGAGTCGCATGACTTGGACTCGAGTCAGACTCGAGTCATCAATTTGATGACTTTAAACTCGACTTGACAAAATGTAAAGAGACTTGCAACTCGACTTGGACTTTAACGTCAGTGACTCGTGACTTCACTTGGACTCGAGCCCTT